CTCAACAGTTCCTTCTATATTGGGGAAACTTGTTTGGCAACCGGTGTATATCAGATATAAATAAATACATATGTATAGACGACTTCATACTATGGTTTTTTTTTTACCTTCGTGCAAGTGATTTACCAAGTCGTTCAGAAAGGAAAAGCTTGACGAACATTCTTCCCATTTACAGTTTAGAACCCTGGAGTGAGCCCTAACTGAGGGTGAAGAGTCTTCACTGTCACTTGTGCTTAAAATGGAGGACATGTTTATTTATGTGAAAAAAGTCAACAAAATATCAATGGAAGAAGGATAAAATTAAGAGATAAGCGAATATTTGGAAGATTTATTCAATTATAAGCGTAGGGGAGAATGAGGGAAGTATTGCAGGACGTCTTACAAAAAAGCGAGAAAATTTTGACCAGTGAAAATTTTCTTTTTTTTTTTTTTGTGCGAGATTAAAACGCCTCGTTTATTGACGTCATCTTGGTTGTTTCCAATAATGGAAGTGGCGATGCAAGCACGGAATTATGAATGTACATGTTTGTTGAGGAGAAGAAAGAGACATGATGAATTGCGGCGGTGTGACATTAAAAAAAAAAGTTTTTTTTGATATCTCGACATGTCAAGAAAATCATTTTCCAAAGAAATGAAAATCATTACAAATTTATCATCATAGTTTCACTAATTTTTTTTAAAGTCAGTACACGTACACACTATTTTATTTTGCCAGAGATTGGATGCAACTATCGATCTGTCTTGACGTTTTTACAAACGCGCTTGTTTTTTTCAAGTTTGTTTTGCTGTCATTGCGTGTTAGAAATCACGTTGTGTGGCTCCATTCAGATTATTCAGATTGATAGTTACTGGATTTGTATCAGGATTTTTTTTGCTGTAATGACAATCTTTTCTTGTTTTGTTATTTTGATTTTTTAAATAAAATAATAATGAAGTTAAATTTAATAGAATTATTACAAATATAAGAATTTAATTTAATTTATTCATTAGTAATAAAAAATTTTTATATTTATAAATAAGATTAAATTATATGTTATCCCTTAAATCATAAGACATTTTTTTCATAATGTTTAAAATTTTTTAACTAAAAAGTTGTTTTTCATTTATTTTTTTAAATAATTAAAATATTTTTTTAAAAATTTATATAATATTAGTTTTAATT